TACCCATCCACTAAGTTTGTTTAGTTCCCTCTGAAATTCCTCAGAATCCCTTTTGGTCTTGATTAAGTAACTGTATCATTTGCCAGTTTTACTATCTCTCTTTCCATCTTTCAATTTTCCAGATTATTTAACATATCTTTAAAGACTGGACCTACTACAGAACTATAAGGAATTCTACTATAATGCTTTTGTCGCAATGAAAATTAACCATTAATTCCTATTCTTTATCTGTCTTCCAACCAGTTTTTAAACAATGACCCCAAATCCAAAAGAAAATAAATCTTTTCTTCACATATCTATTATTTAAGTCCATTTTTAGAAATTAAAAAAGACTGCACTGCATTGCTTCTTATTTAGAAGCTTTTTGTGCTACCCAAAGGGATAAAATGTACTTTTAAAAATAAAATTAAATGATGTGGAACTATTGAGGTTCATGCCCATTTGCCACTACTGGCAAGTTATGATTTTTATATTTTCAAAGGTTCCACTGAAACAATCAACATTTTGACTATAATGCAAAACTGTTTCCCTTATTTTCTATTAGTTGTTTAGCACCAACATTCCCGCTCCTCAAACATAACTCTGATTACCTAAAATTATAACGTCGACTCAGTATCAGAAACTGCACTTAATTTTTTCTGACTACAGGGCTAAACTTGTTCTTACCAACTAATACTGTCCTAACCCATGAGGATGAAGTACTTTGAGATGCAAACATACAAAGTGCTGTGTATTATGAGCTATGTAGTTCCAAAGTGCTACTTGGAGCTAAGCATTAATCTCTGAAATGTCACTGTACTGATACAGTATCTGGAGTACTACCATCTCAGCTCAATTTTTTTCCCTTCTAAAAGGGCTCCAGGAAGTTTTCAATGCATTGCTGAATTTAAGACCTCGTACTTATGGAGTATAAGGATATTAAATTTGGGGAAGGTTTAAGTACATACAAACTGCACTACCAAACTTTAATCTATAATTGATTTCATGCACATACATCCCTATTAGTCAACGTGATGCTTCAACAACACAATGACTTTGCCTTTTTTCATATATACTAGTTTGGTTTCATTATCAGCTCTAAGAGGCCTGAATACAAGGTAGACCAACTGTGTGCTTAACATTTATACAAATCGATGGCACGTAATCTTAATAAGCAGTAAAGAAGGACTGCGGCCAATGTGCCATTTGTCTAGCCGCGAATTTAAATGACTTTCTGGGGACAGGGCATGACATAGCCATTGTACAATTAAAGGGAGTGGGGCGAGGAGAAGGGGAATCACTCTAGTCCTTGCTCTCACCAATAAAATGATTGATTTGTTGGACGTAAAGTTTTATTTATGCTTTTTATATTGGGCTCAAATTGGTAGAGTTCCTGGTTCTCTTGGGCCACTGCTAGAACAGAGCTAAACATGTTCTGATGACTTACCTCTGCCTTTTCAATTGCATGTACATGTAACTTTAATGCTGTACTTCAATTCCTAACAGCACAGGTTTAAAAAGAAAAACCAAAAAAACCCACACATGGAAGGGGTTTGGGTTTGTTTTTTTTTAATTCCTTAACCTTTAAAGTTATTAATATGAATGTACTTAGCCCAACCAAGTTCCCATGTCAGAGATTTATTTATATTATGGACTCATTAGGAGCTAGGGAGCAGATGCCCTGCAGGGCTTTCAAGCTCCATTGGGTCCAGTTCCACAGAAGTATCTTAAGTACTCCAAGAGGTTCCTCAGCCCACAGTTTCTCATGCAGTCTCTACTACTTTCCTATTTCTTTAAGCTCAGTAGCTCGAATTCTGCTCCCCCTTGCAATTTCTCTTCTCAGGACCTTCTAAATTCCTAGGATGAACTGTGGAGCTTTGCTGAATAATCAGTAGAGAAACATGAAGACAGTAATGGTCATCTGCTTCTTCAAACTTTGAAATGCCTGCAGGGAGACAAATCTCTGAATGGAAGTATGTAACATGTTGGGGAAAATGCAAGATTAGCGTGTAGTAGGCAGATGTCTAGGTCATGTCAGCTGCTTAGCAAGGAGGACAGTGGTATCTCTCACAGCCTGGAAGGACGCAGCACTTTTTCAGAGTTTCAGTAGAGCTCCCGAAGGGGTAGGAGGACACCACTACAAGTCTTTGGATTTGTAGAGGCTTCTAAGGACTGGCTATGTATGCCATGGAGTCCCATGCCTATACTGGACTCTAGGTTACCCATCTCTATCTACATATGGTATATGAGGCAGAAGGCAGGGTAGAAATGTACCTTAAAGACTAAATGACTTCAAAATAACACGGCTAACTACCTTTCTCTGTATATGTAATAGTACATATCCTAAAGTAACATGATTCCACATGATCATTACAAAAGAATTTTCTGATTGTGCTCCTGGAAATTATGACTCCATTTTTTTCCCTCAAGTCTTGTAACTTTCCTGTCCTGGATTCCAATAAAATCTACTGCCATGCAGTAGAAGTGCTGTCACATATTGCCATCTCCAGACATTAACGTTTTTCCTTCCTGATGGGACATATGCGTAGATCCTGCTGTTTGCCATCCTGCATGTATGAATATAAAGATTCTGCTTCCACTTGGTTCCTACATGCAGGTTGCTGAATACTACATCACCACATAATCCCTCAAGAGAAGGAACTTAGGGTCTCTAAATGGACAAATACAAAGACCTGTGAAACTGCTAAAAGGATGGCAGCAAGACTAAGGCTGGGAGGATGACAGCAAGCTCCAGTACAGAAGTAGGGAGGTAATAAGCATTTCCCCCATACCAGATGTGGAATAGGGGGTCAGAGGTTGGGCAGGGGGGGGAGTTTTTCCAGACTACCTAGTAACGGAAGTACAATGCTGATCATTTCTCCTGCCTGCACAGCTGACAAAGCCTCTAAAAGTCAACCGCTAATATTCCAGGACAAAGCTACAGCAATAGAACTTCCACTGCTGCACATTTAGTAGAGGTGGATGGAAAAGAAACCAGGAAATGGTAAGTTGGCATCTCTCTTGCCTGGCAGCAGACAAGAACACTAGCTAGGAGGCAGGCTATGATGACCTCATCCCCATTTTTCAGAAACCGGAGAGATTTCTTTAGCAATTTGTTCACATTCTATAAATTATTGCAAAGACAAGTCCCAGAGACTTTAGCTGAAAGAAAGTTTAGACTACCAGGCATTCCATGCCTTATTTAAGGCCTACAGACGATCACGATATTCCATATTCTCCAGGATAGAGCTTCTCAAGCCTGGCCTTCCCCCATCTCAAAGATTATCTGGAGTTCTCTCTCACCAAGTTCTATCAAATCTCATTTGGAATTTCGAGGACAGGGCATTTTGAAAAGAACACACAGCAAAATATATAATTTTCTGAACTTGATTAAAGCCTGTTTGTTTTTTCCCCTTGAATCTCATTACCTCAAAAAGAGCTTCTCTCACTCAACTCACATTTGGAACAAAAATTATCTACCAACCACAGACCACACATGCAAGATGTAAAAGGGGAATGACTTTTGTGGATTTTAGAGGGGGGGGGGGGGGGGGTTTATCCAATCAAGTTTTTGATGGCTACCGAGTCTCAGCTTGAACAACAGAAAGCTACTGCAACAAAGTAAAGTGAAATCCACTCTCCCAAGCCCACAACTAAATTTAAATTAAGAAAAGACTAAACTCAGATCTGAATAAAGCATAAGCAATGTGGTTAAAGAGAATACCATTAGAAAGACAAAAATCACAAGCCAGATTCCTGTAAAATGTACTGTACAAAGAAGCGGCAGTGCTCTCTATCTTGTGGGGTTTTACATGGAGGAAGATATACCCATAACAAAGTTACCAAAATTTCCATTAACCTACAACTGAATAGAAAAGGGCAACTATTTCCATTTACAAAACTAAATAGCTCGACAGAACAAACATTGGTTTACCAGCTTTTAAGAGGGAATTATAAATATTAACCATAGTTTACGCAAAATCATTCTCTCTAATCAGCATCAAAGTTTCACTGTGGAAATAACACGATCATTCATGCTAGCAAACCAAATCATGCATTAGGCAATTTGCAATGCAGAACACCAGAAATATGGTCATAGAAAAATCTGTTTTTAAGACTTTTCTACCCAAGTAAAATACTAATTCTAAGGCTGAAATGCTCTTATCAAATAATACAACAGTTTTCAGACAGTAAGGCTCAGCACAGAACAACTAGAACTCATCAGCACATGCCATCACTTTTGTAATTACAATCCATGGTTATGGTGAGTTCTTACCTTGTTACTACACTTTAAACCCACTGATATACACACCACACCACTGATAGTGGAGAATGTACTGAACACATTCTCCAACAAAAAACACACCAGGCAACTTTTAAACTGCAGAGATTAACCCTCATTTTACTGACTCTTGGTGTGTGCTTAACTACTTCTGTAAAAAAAAACAAAACAAAACAAAACAAAAAAAAACACACAAAAAAAACAAAAACAAAAAACAAAAAACCATCATTCAGGGAAAAAGATGATGAATGCATTTAATCAGGCAAGGACTGAGGTAGGATGTACTGCAAACATTAGACTAAAAACTTCCATCAAAATCCCCATTCTTACTCAAAAAAATCAGGATGCTATCAGTCTCATGAAAGACTTTACTCAACTAAATGTACACAGAAACACCTTAAACTGAAATACTGATGTCGGGCTACGTGGCATCTCCATCACAAGGCACTGCAAAGTTACCTATGCACCGGCTGACAGGCTCCAACAGTGTTACTAACTAAACTCCGAACTTTATTATACTGTCAAACTATTTCAGATGTGTGTGACATGTCGTACCCCCCGCTGCAGGAGGTCTGAAGAGATCAGACTGGAAAGTCCTTTCAAAAGACTACTTCTACCTCTCTGGGAAGACCGCCCTCACTAGGAGCCAGGACCTGCCCTGGCAAAAAAAGGATCCCCCGCGTAATCATCTGAATGAAACCTGCCCCTGCCAGAAGGGTGGCCAGGTCAGTCTTCTCACCTGCCCACTGAGACCAAACCCAGCCCTTCTGGGGCAGGCATCCTCCCCTTTGCCTCCGGCCCTCAGGCCTTCCCATCACCATCAACATCACCCCCGACTGCCCGCTCCGCACCTAGAGCCGGGGGAGGAGGGGGCTGGAGGGACAATGGCAGGTGTCCAGCAGCCTCTGCTGACGGGCGGGACCTCCCAGGCCTCGCAAGGCTGCGG